CTAAACATATGTCACTGTTTCATAAACAAAATAAATGGATTAAAATAATACATTACCAATATGCTGACACATGGAGATATTTTAATTAGAAATAGTTAAGCTGTGTGATATTTAACTGCTATATTTGTTGAAAAGGAGCATGCATCATTTAGTAAGACATAAGGCAGGTACATCACTTTGCATGATGTGGTACTAGAGTGGGACCAAATCACCTTCAGTGTGAGCCATCACTACCAGATCATATTAGCCCCACTAAAAGATTGCTTTAAGGTTACAACATATAGAGGAAACTCCATAAAAGCAGCGGTCCACTAAAACAACTTTTTCATTGAAATAATAAGTCACCAAGATTCTGGTTCCTGAGAATAATATTTCTTCATAAAAGGCCACATTTAACATCTTAGCTATTTAAAGGCCATATTTACATGACTGTCGCATTACATTGGCCTCTTTCCTGCACATTCTTCTTGACTTACTTTAAGGACCAGAACTAAAATAGCTGAGGAAAGCAAATGTCAACTATGTCCTGAAATTTATATGTGTGAGAGAATTGGAATAAGTAGAAATGTAATATATTGTTTACTGTACCGAGTGCCCTCTGTTCTCTAAAGGTCAAAAGCATCGTAACCTTAGAGTTACAGTTTCTGATTGTTCCCAGGGTTAAATACATTATCAAAATTAATGGTTCAAACCCCTCAACCTTCAGATATATGAGTATTCATGCCTCCATCTGCTGAACTGTTCAACTAAAAATAGCATTCTTTGGCCTTCCCTCTACTAATATTGTGCCCCTGAGGCAGGCAATGCAATGCTTCAGCAGCGCACTGGATCCGCACCCAGCAGTATAAAAAAAGGTCATTTACTTTGTCTGCAATTAGAAGAGAGTATGGAGGAGTAGGATAAGATGGGAGGGGAGAAAAGAAATAGACAAATATGTGTCTAGCTAAAATTTAAAAATTTTTAAATGGATTATAGAAACTTCAGGCTTCAAGAACACAGCTGCAACTATAGTTAAGACTTGCCAAGGTTCATTAGTGTTACAAGCAATAAATTTTGAAGGACAAATTACACAAATAGTTTGTTTTAAAGCTTTTTTGTTTCGCTTTTTTTCCTAGTGTTCACTTTGTTTAGGAACAACTCCAGCTAGCATCATTGTAGTGCTTCCATTTCTATCAACAGTTTATCAGTCGCGGTTGAGAGAGTTGCAACATTTCCTTATTTACTGCATAGTCTGCTTTGCAGAAATACATAAAAATGAAGGCAGATTTTTTTAAACAATAAAGAGCATATAGTAACATTCCTTATTTGAAAGTAAGGACATAGAGGTGCCGCCTTTGCCACCACTGAGACTTCCCAGTAACTAGGTTACTGCTACCAGTACCATGAGAGCTGGGAAAACCCATTTCATGATCAAGTTCACTCATTTAGCAAGATTACTGGGCACACATATCTAGAATCTGTTAATGTAAGTGCAATCATTTGACAACTAGGGAAAAAATTCAGGGAAACAGGAAAGAGGAGAAACTCTAGAGAAGATGGGTATAAAAAAGAGAAGCAAAGGGAAAATTATTGACAGGTTATACTGGTCACACTGATTAATTAAAGCAACACGCTTTTGTTACATACATGCATCAGAATTGGTTCACACACCACTATGCATACCTGCTACAAGTGTATTTGGTAATATATCTGTAAACTATTTAGCAGAAGGTTGATTTGACTGGATTCACTCACAAGTTGTTTGAAGCTGGAGGGGTGAACAGAAATAGCTTGGTCCTTCTTCTTAGACCATACCTAGAGAACTGTTCCCTCATCAGCAAGACCCTCCCTCATGCCAAGAGTCCTAACAAGGCTTGGTCCTGTCACACATATTTAAATCTTTGGCCAAGTTGTTGAGGAAACTGATGAGATGGGTCTGAGCTGTTAATGGGAAGTGTGGATCACAGAGTTTTAAGACTTTTTGTCAATATCATCACCAATGCCATCCTCCTGAGATCAGTACACAGATAAAAAGAAACTATCTGATGTCAACCCAAAGCAGAGCAAGCCACCACTTCAGGAACATGGACTGGCATAAATGTGTGGTAATTACTACTTTCTTTTAGGATACTCAAGCTGCAACTGAATCTTAACAGTATTTACCACTAGCTGATCAATGTGATGCAAGGTCTTAAGAGTAGATGGGTTAAACAGGTATGTTGCTGAAAGAGAACTTAATTATTTTATTTTTTTTTAATACAAGGCCCATGAGAGTGAAACTAGTTACTCGAGAAATTCCTAGATATGATTTCGATAAAGTTTTTTTTAACTCACAGGGATACATAATCCACTGGTGAACACAGACATACAGCTCAGAGGAAATACATTTTGATATCAATGTGCTAAATAGCTTGAATAAGATGGGCAAATCATTAATTACCAATTGCCCACTGCAGAAACATCCTCTGTGGAATAATTGTTATCGTTACATGATGTACCTGAGAGTAAATTGTTTTCTGTGCTACTAGATTCAGAGCTTCCATACAAGTTGTCCTAACACACAGAAAAATGAGAACACAAAATTGCTGCTAGCTCCTATCTGAACCGTGGTCATCCCAAATAAGCAGAAGTGAAAAAAGAGGAAAGATTATAAACTTGAAGCCGCCAGAATTTCCACCGCAGCTGGATATGGATTATGGGATATTATTTTGGAACTAATAATAATGACCTGGTAAAGTTAGAAATGAAATATTTGAGCTACTGCAAAGTTTTTTACTTCAAATAGCTTTCCGTCCCCAAGTTCTCCAAACATAGATACTACACACACACTCACATGTAGAAACAAAACCAAACCTGCAAATGAATTAGCTATTTCTCCCATTGGCTGAAAGGAATAGAGATTAGTTTTGTGATCAGTATTTTTAAGCACTTGGGAAATACTCAGATACCATGGTCACAGCTAATAAATAAGTGGGTGGGGCGCATGGAAGAAAGGAAGTAAAACAGAGAAAGAAGGGGGAAGGGAAGCAAAGATGGAAAAATGAGCTGAAATGCTACACCCTTAACAGTCTTCATGACACATCAGGTATAGAACAAATTCCCTCCAACAAACACGCCCAAATAAGTGTTCATTTAGGGAACACTTCAGGAATGTACACAAAGAGAATATTAATAGTAGGAGTAAATAGAATTTAGTTCAGCCAATTTGACAATTGGATGAGCAGGTATCAACTGAAGGTTAAGTACTCTATTACTTAAGCTCTTACGACCATGAAACATTACAAGTTTTGAAATCCCACAAAGGTGAAATTAAAATAAAATAGAAAGGGAGGGAACAAACAAAAAACCTCTTTTACAACAAATATATCTGAAGGAAAATTCAGGCCCCTCAAGCACTCAAACATTTCTGATTTTATTAGCACCACTTTCTTTGCTGGTCGTTTTCTCTCTAATTACGTTCGTCATGTTTAACAGCTCAGTCTACCATTTCTGCAAATTAATGAAATTGCACTATTGCTGCAGGTTCTGATCAAGGCTGATGTGCAAGTAGATCTGTGGGTCAAGATACAAATGGATCTTGTAAAAGACAGGAATCAGGAATGTCTGTGGTTTAGATCCTGTTTCTTTTGCAGTTGAACAGTTTTTATCCTTTCCTGCCTTACAGTCTTGTGTAGGCTCACTATTTGTTGTACTGCATTTCAAAGCTAGCAAAAATAGACTCTAGTCACAAAGCTGTTTTCCTAAGTATTTTCTCAATAAAGCTAACGAGACTTTTGCTTCAATAAGTATTCACATACAGATTTTCAAAGTATACCTGCTATTTTTCCTTTGGAAAAATTTCCTTTTGGTTTGAAGCCTGTCCAAGGTACAGTCTTAACATTATACTGTCATGACCCAAAAGTATTTTTTGAAGATCTTTTCCTGCAGTGTCAGAGTGTTCTCTTTTCAAGTTTTGATTGTAGGTTAGGTTAGACATAAGCTCGAGGGGTCTTTTTCACCAGTTCTGGACCACCAGTGAACAGTGAGTTCTGATCCCATTCTCACTTATCCTAAGTTAACTTGGCAAGAAGAGGATCAGCAATGGGTAAAGATGAGAGGATCTTTAATTTGCTCTGGTCCCTCTGGAAAATGATATAATTGCAGAAGGATAAACAAAGTAGATATTCGGATATTAACATGGCAGTATTTTGCTACTCTAGGCACAGTTTATTCTTACTTTGCATCTGAACCAAACTGTAACCTAACTCAAACAGAGGTTTCAAAGGTTTACTTGCAAATAGTTACATACATCTTTAATGGCCTTTCCTCTCATGTTCACTGTCACTTCCTTTCCACACATTTTAACTCTGAAAGCTTTTGACTGTTTCTTCATTATTTATGACATTGTTGTGTCTTTTCTTGTGAAATTAAAAACTTCTTGCCACAAAAAGCTAGCTAATAATATGACACATAAATCTTTCTTTCACAACATTTCAGTCTATATATGCCAAAAATAAATAAATGACCAGACCAAGGCTCCTGACCATGCTTGGCATCTGACCAGCTTAATGCATAGACAGGCTGAGATTACCTAAATACAGAAGCTAAAAGAGTTTGCAATTTATTGTATTGTCAGCACCACACTGTCTGAAAAAAAAGAAAAAAACCTCAGTAACACACATTTCTTTTGATACATGCACTGCTCCAATTAAAGGTAGTGCATTGCAGCCAGAGAGGAAAGACTAAATGAAAATAAAGTACAAAAACATCTTTAACTTATCTCCCATCAACTGATCATATAATTAAAAAAATACCATTAACTCTGACAATATAAAGCACACAGAACAGTGTCTTCCACTCACAGTATCAAGGTTGGCCACACGTTGCTATATTTGCAGTACATAAGTACATAAGGTGTTAATCCTCCTGGGCTCTGCTCAAAAATTATTTAACATTCAGACTATTATTTAGCATACAGCTGGTTAGCAGTTTTCCCCTAAAATGTTGGCTCCAATCCCACATTTTTTTGTTCTGGCACATACCTGGAGCTGTAAAGGGCTGAGTCCAGAAGCAGCAGCAGCTGCCATTGTTGATGGAATGAACTGCACAGGGTAGTTATCACCTGTCGGGAGAACAATGCGTGCAGGTTCAGACAATGAGCAGAGAATAGCAGCAGACAAGTGCAAACATGGACCTAGGATTGCCTGTGCTCCACAGCACTCCTCTAAGCCTAAACATCTGCAAAAACAAAAGGTTTTGCTGGGCACGGACTTGCCATGCTCCCCTGGAACTTTTTTGTTAGCAGATAGCTGGTAGGCAAACTGGCAAAACATAAATGTGATACTCGTGATTTTCATTTTCAAAAGCAAATGTTCAAATCAAGCGTATAAGTTTGGGCACAAAATGGGCCTTAAGGCCACAGACACACAGACAAGATACCCCAGGAAACCCCACTGGTTCCCAGAGGAAAAAAAAATTATTGTCACCACGTGTTTCTTAAAACAGAAGAAACTTGTTACAACCCAAGAAATTTCAGCTGAATTTAATGCAGGTAGATTTCTTTTCAGTATCGAGTGTCTCTTCCCTGGGAAAGCTATCTAGTTGGGTCAACACAGTAGCTGTTCAGTTACATGAAGATTCAGGCACTAAATTTCTGTGTTCTGTTCACTGGAAACTGAAAATGTGTGCCCTCTGCATGGAGGGGACAACAAATACTGGAGAAAATAAAGAGATACTATTGATCCAAAATAAGTCTTGCAACACTATATCTTATAGCATCTATGGGTGTTCCCACACATATGGATCACACAGTGTCATTGGGACTTTTAGTCAAAGTAAAGAATGAAGGAAGAGTGAAATAATTCAGCAGTGCAATCTGTAACATAAAAATTAAGAGTGATGGATAAATTGTACAGTAACTATGATTTAATGGAATATCACTTTTGCTCAAGCTACTTATTTAAAGTCAGTGTTACGTACTATCTGTAGGCTACATTTTAACAGGCTTCTCCTCTGTACATTTTTGAGATCTACAATAATCAGTCTGGTTTACATGAACTGTTCCATGCTGAAAGCAGAATGCAGCAATGAGGGAAAATACAGAAATCCAAAATAATATAATCAGGACAATCCGAGAGTTACATTTTTTTTTGTCAACCCCCTCAAATAAATAACGATAGCTGAAGTTTTTGGTTCAGTCACTGGATTCCTCAGCATTCTCCCTTTTTACCACCTGAAGTGCTATTGTATTCAGCTCAGTTTAAATGTTTGGTTGTTTCACTTTTTTAATAAATTGTACATGTCTAATCCACAAGGTCTCTTTGCATCCTATCCGTAATACCTCATCAGGCCATTGAGCACAGTATGCGCTTGTACACAGTCCAGTAACAATTGGATTCTGATTGCATATGGAGCTCTGCTACAATGCATTCACTAACACTATATTGTACTGGTGTCCTATGGAGTAATGTTCAAAATATCTCCTCTTATTTTCCCTCCTTCCATGAGGTTGATTTTAGTTTGCAATTCTGTTGTGTTTTTTTTTTTCCTTAAAAAAAAAAAAAAAGCAACAAAAAAACCCCCTAGATCCTTTTCTTAAAGTACTAAAGCTGTCTCTTTATGGTTAAATAATTCTACTCATCTCTTTGATATTTATATGAAATTATCTGAATAAATAAGATCCTAATCTAAGTTAAATAATGTTTTTTTCAGAAATATCTTACAAGGTTTTTAAAAAAATCACAAAGATGTTGAATTAATGATGCTTTAAATGGGGGGGAAAATAACCATCCGAGTTATCAGCATGGACTGCCTTGCAGAACATTTCGGAGGCATTCTTTCTTTAAATATCATGAATTATTCATTCCTGTTCCACACAGCAATCTCTTCTTTCTCCCTCCCCCTCCACATACACTTTTAAAGTTCAATACCAGTTGCGTTATTTGTACTAAAACATTTTCCATGTCAAACATATTTTAAAAAAAATCAAACTCTAAAAGAATTCCCCACGGCACTCCTTTTTCACAGCTGTCATGCTCCTATGGTTTGAAATAGCCAGATATTTTATACACACACACACATACACGCACGGAGTTTTTGGCTTTGCAGTTAATTTTACAGTATCTCTACCACACCCTGTCGTGTTGTCTTGCTCACCTGCTGGCTACAGTTCTTTCTTTTGTTATGGGAAAAATAATTTTATAGTTATATCATTTTTTTGTTATTAAAACATTATACTGTCCTTTTCCTCCCTCATTTTAACATGTTAAATTATGGCTAAGTCCTGGTATGTTAGCAGTATCTGTGTGCTGAGAACAAAAATTAATACTCTCTCAGCTCTGGGGTACTTTGCTGACACCAAGCAGTAAAAGCAGAGCAAAGGTACTTTTCACTCCCTTGAGGAAACTGAGTATGCAGTGAATGAGTTGGGTTTAATTTTTAATTACAGAAGGTACATATTTCCCCCTCTCTTTTTCTCAGTGCAAGAATGGATCAAGAAGCTTCTCAGTAGTAGTAGCAGTCTTGGCAAGAAATCAGTCAATGTATTGTAGCAATTTTTTTCAGATTTGTTTCTCAATTTGGAATGCCTGCATGAGGATCTGTTCTTTTAAATTTGTATAAAAGGCGGCAGAACCTGTTCAAACAGGCCTGCTTTAGGTACCGGTGTGTGCTGGCCTTTGATAACCAGGAGTGAGAAGAATGCCGGAAGAAGAAAATCTGTCATGTTTTGCAAACTGATCTCTTCGATCTCTTCCATCTCCTTGCTGTGCTGATTGTCTATTTACATTTGGCTGCTGTTGTTTATATATAAATTGGTGTTTACAAGCCATGGAAAAGTATGCCAGACTTCTGTTTCATTTGTCAGGTTGAGCAACATTTCCAAATGAATAAAAGCAGCGAGCAATTTTATTGTGCTGTTCAACATAGAAATAATGTAAATGTTTCTTTTTGTCTTGGATGAAGCGATGAAGCTTAGTGGACTTTATTTATAGGATGTATGGACTTACTTTCCAGACCAAGGCTTTGTGAGCTGTGAGGAAAGAAGGATGCCTAGCTCTTGCAAGACTCAGGGTAGGGGAAAGAGGTTGCTTTATTACTCATCTTTCCTAAAACACAATTGCGAGACATAAGCTGACTCTCCTCGTTTGATTTACAAAGCTTTCTGTTTGATGATGGTTTCCTCATTTTCGGATTGTAACTTAAGAACTGTCTTTTTGCACATGGGTCTCAAACTGCCACTTGCACACTGTCCACGCATACTCGCAGTATAACAGGAAACAGAGTTGGAAGAGATGTAAGAGATCACAAATGCCAGGGCTCTACCCTCCCAGGCATAATGGACAGACCGAGGAAAGCATACCTCTCCTCAGGGTGTTGTCGGGACACAGCAAGGATATAGATGCCCACTCCTGCAATATTCCCACACAGGACATGCATTTTGTTTGTGCAGAGGCATTAGGATTGAGGAAGATGTTAACAGAGGTAGTTGGCTAAGGCAATACTATGGACTATCTCCCCTGTCCAATGACGCTACCTCAGTTCTGCCTTTCTTCTGAGCAGGGTTTGTTGCAACATTGCCTTATTGCCATCCTCATGTCACAGCAAAATCAGTTGCCCCAACTATTGTCTGTCTGTGGTAAAGAACTTCAGTGCAAAATCCCAGTTGAAAATATTCAGCTACCTACTATCGCTTCCAGCTCTTACCTCAACATTTAGGAGTGAGGCGCATATGGATTGCTACAACAAATCCTGAGGTTAGGAATTCCCTGTTCCAACCAGTAAAACCCAACAGGGAACACATGACAGACTTTAACTCAGTCCTAGGGAATTTCCATTAGAAATAAGACTAATGCAGCACCTCTGCTGTGCAAAGATGCATGGCCAACTCAGTACACACAGTTGATGTACGCTTTCTGTTCTCACCTGCCAAGATGAACGGCAGCCTACTGAAAATACAGTACTGTGCTATGTAAAATTTAAACCACCTTACAGCTTTAGGAAAAATTTCTGAAGGGCCTGTTCCAAATGGAAACTGCAATGAGGGATATCACTGAAATCCAGCAGATCTAACTTAGTTATGTGGATTAGCTACTGTAATCAAGGAGTTTAATTAGTTTGATGACAAATATCTCACAGTATTGAAATGTTCTGAGGTCCAGCCAGATGACAATAAGCCTGACAGTTTTGTTTGTCATGCTTTACCCAATTTTACTTTCATTGATTTCAAAGGATTTACTGTTGATTTACCCCAATGCAAGTAGGAACAGAACCAGGCCAAAACATTGGCTCCATTTCTTACTATTTTTGCCACCAGTCTAGGAAAACAGTCTCCATTTTCACATTTCATTTGCCAGCATAGCAAATTCTCTTGTAAATTATTTTGTAAATTAGTTTGTGTACAAAGCAGAATGACACAGGTAGGCAGATAGGAGTTGTTTCTTAGCCATTCTAATCAAGGTCTTTATATGCTTCTGTGTGAAATATGAAGAAATGTTTTGAAAATACACTGCAGCATATCAGTCTACAAACTCCTTTAAACAGAGGATTGCAACCTCCATACCTCCGTGTCTCTACTTTCAATAATCTTTCTCAGAGATACTTTCCACATCTGGTAAAGAACTGATATAATACAAAATATTTGCAGAAGACTATCAAGCAAAAGTGAGCATTCATTTCCAAGTCACATGGACAGCTGTTATGCAGCCAGCATGGAGAGCGGCCCTCCCACTCTCTGCTCAGAGCAAACAGTTGCTCTGTTTGAGATCTGCTCAAAGTATGGTTTGGCTCCTGCCCAGCGTTACTTTATATCTTTCCTCCATCATCATCCTACTTCCCCATTCCCTCTTAGCCACAAAACTTGAAGGAGGTAACACTTTAGGCACTGCAAGATGGAGGAGGGAACTGTCTTCCTCCTTATCCCACTCACTGTCTTCTCCTCTTGACCTAGGGCACTAATGGGGACCTGCTAATCACATTCAAGGATACTCCAGCCCACTAACTTTTCCTGGATGCATACCGTTGGTTAAGTGAAGGGAAATTTGCACTGGGAGAGGAGGTATAATGGTACTTCTGTTACCCACCAGTTCCAAGCAGTAAGTATAGTGGTCATAGTCAGAAAGCCAGCACAGTTGCTTTGCGGTACTTGTGATGCAAAATAATTATATTAACTGCGTAGCATCCCTGGGCAAGTATTAGCTTCCTAACAGCTGCCACTCTCAGCTTCCCACTGGAATAAGTGGCAACCCCCACAACCAGGTACTCTACGAGGCTCGTCAAGTGCCTGCAGGTCAATAGTCACAACAGTCATTTGAGATGCACAGCGCCCTAAAGTTTTAATTAATCCAGTATACAGTATAAATACTGAAATATGTATAAAAAATTAATTAGGTGGTCTATGCAGCTCTGATTTCTCAATTAGTACTTACCATGCCGGAAAATTATATTACATGACTTTGAGATACATAAGGAAGCATGGGACTTTGGGGATTTTTTTTCTAATGTAATGGGGATTTTTTTTCTAATGTAATTATTACTTGTCATCAGCACTTGCTAACTTCAGCCTCTTTCACCTCCTAGAGCTCCAAAATATTGGGGAGGAAGGTTATAGCCACCTTGTGTTATAGATCCTGCCAGGCAGTAGGAAACACTGTCCTGTCAGTCTTTAATATAAATCATAGTTGTACATCAGCAGTTCCTCAAGTTTTCTATTCATAATGACTTTCTGAGCTCAGGAGTTCAGGAGCAACTAAGGCATGTGCTGGAAGGGCCTCAGAACTAATAAATTCTCCTCTCTCTATAGGTCCTTCCATTGAGGGCATAACCTAGTGAAGTCTGTTATAGGGATACCATTTTCTTACTTCAAGGTATAGAGTTTACATGCAGATTTGCAACAGTACTCCGTAACTGCTGTCTTGGTATTGAACTAAATAGCCAGGAAATTGGTTCCCACTTAGCCCATGAAGATATATCTGCATGGACATGTGCACATAATCATACTCTTGCTTGTCTACCAAGGCAGGACTTCTCATCTTGGCTGCACTGTCACACTAACACTCATACTCCACTTCCAAGTTGGAGCTGGCTTGTATCTAGCCCATTTTGCGGTCAAAGCAAATTAAGTGACTATGCACACAGTACTTGACATTCCCTAAATGACACAGTCAGTTTCAAAAGTACTCAGTTCCCACAGCTCCTGTTATTGAAATCCCTCTTGGTGTATTTTCTGAATGTCAAGGAAAACTGGTAGTGTCAAAACTCAGTCTTGCCTACATCAAACCAGAGTAAAAGGAAATAAAAACTAAACAGGCAACTAAAAAGAAAATGGTAAGTATTTGAAGGGTTAATCCATCTCCCGTCTTTCCTCAGAAGTATAAGCAAGTCTAAACTGACGGTTCTAAAGGTGAAAGTTTCATTTCTCACAAAAGTAGAAGAGTACAGGTAGTAGCAGTCAAGTTCATAAATATTCCTCAGAAATGACTTTGAAGAACCCTCTCTATGAAAGAGTGAAGCTTAATCTCCAGTTTCATTAATTCCTTAACTACTGTGCCGAGAGTGCCAAAAATAGGAATTAATCAATACCAAGAGTAGTTACAACTTTTTTTTTTATCACGATGTTTCTCCAACAGAAACTACTACCCTGCCCAGCTACCTTTGCCACACACACTATAGAATTTAGTAAATATATTAAAAATATAAATATTCTCATTTCTTGCAAGCCACTGGGTAAATCAGATCATTGTGACTTCTGATCTTTACAAGCATCCGCTGGATAGAAACCACTAACATACTAGCAAGCAGCTTAGCTGTATTCTGAGATATCTATGCCTTGATTTCTGCCTGCACTTCATTCTTTTAACATTTGTTATAGATCTCTCTTTCTGCATTCTGGCAAGTAAAAAAAAAGCCCTAAAGCTGTATCCCCTTCTACTATGAGGTCAATAGGATCACAGGTAAAGCAGTATAAGGTCGATAAGCTGTTAGGATAGGTACTGTAAGGGACACTTTAGAATAAGTGCAGAAATCTGTTCTAGTACAGGAAATCGTGCTGGTACTCTTCTTCCTGAGTCATTATTGTACCAAGTAGCCTACAGAGCCAAAATCAACACGACATGATTTGACATATCACGTTTCAGGGGGAAACACAACCAACAGCTTAATCATTAATAGTCATTATTCAGAAAACATCTCAGATTAAAATGGGAAAAGCGAGGAAACTAAAGCACATGCTTTCTCATGTCTGTGAGAAGAAAGGTATTAGCCAGGGTGTCGTAGACAATTTCCACGACTGGCATCTCATATGTCTTTGGAGACAAAATATTCTTCACTTTGGTCCCCAACTGTTGTGAGGTGGTGATGTGTGTGAATAACCATCATGCTGTGTCATCTAGAGCTAGCTGCCTTTCAGAGCTCCGTTAACTGGTTCCTGCATACAGCACACCAGTTTGTAAAATTGGAAAAGAACTTTGGGATTTCTGAAAATAAGATAATAACTGGACAAAGATTCTGTATTTAAAGAGGAACGTCTGTAGACTAAAGAGACAGAAGGGAGTGAGACAAATGGAAATACTTGCTGAAATCCTGCTTGGCCTCACTTCCTCTAATATTAAGTAAACTTGCTAGAAAAGATTTTAGGTTCAACCTAGCTTTTAATTAGTATGTTGTTTACATCATCTATTATGAGGCTTTACTTTGGATTTGACCCTGTTCCTGCTTCAGTCAACAGCAAAAACACCACTAACATCAGTGGGAGCAGGATCAATGCTTTACTTTGTTCATTTCCTATTTAATGTCAAAAAAGAAACTGGTATTTATGTTTTGTAGTTATTAGTTATCAGGTTAATATGCTAAAGGCAGCTTGACAGGGAATACTATTAATGAGCAAAATAAGGTTGCTGCTTCTGGGCTGAGGTCACTTACAAAGAATGTACAAATGAAAATAAGGTTGACTTTTATTTACTTAACTATCTTCCTACATTGAATTCCTTTGGCAACATGTCTTTAAACATTTAAAGCCCTGTTTACAAGGAGACTCTGAAAGTAGCTTCAAACCATTATATCCCTAATTGAATTCCCCAGGAGTCCTGTAAACTCGGAGGAAAAAAGAAAGAAATCATAACATTTACTAAATCATCTCAAAACATATTTCACTGCAAGGTTATGTGACCTGTTACAAGTCTGAATGATGACTGGGATTGAACTACTGAAACCTTTTATTATTCAGACTGAAATCAAACAAAAGAGTAAGAATTTTGGCACAAAAGTCTGCAGATAACAGAATTAATTAAAGATACGTAGCTTTAATGACGCAGGGCAGACCAGATGCAAATTACTAGGCAAGAGGGCCAATATATTTAGAGCAAATGATTTTGTGGGAAATAAGGTAAAAAAAAATCACGATGTTCAGTAACCAATATTCCATCCATCTACTTCAAGCTAGAAGTTTGTTTTCAAGTGGAGTTGCAAAACCCCACACTATTTCCAATCAGCTACGCCTGTTGTGTATCATCTATATGAGATGGATCACACAAGAAGCTACAGTTAATATCTTAAAACGTTAAATAGCTTCACATCCCTGTCAGCTTACCTGGCTTGTAAGTTATTCCTGGGGGGAAGAGGAATCCCTGCTGGGCTGCAGCAGCCGCTGCCAGCGTCCGCTGGTCGTGTGGAAAAATTGGGATCATGAGCGGAGGCATGTGACCCTGAACCTGCTAAACAGAAGAGAGCCTCTGATCAGAAATAGCACAAATTTGTCTTGACAGGTATTTCTCCAGTACTGATAGTGTTCTTGTGTTCACACAGTCCCACAGAACCTTCGTCTTAATGCAATCCCTGCCAATTTCACATTATCACATCAAAGCCCTCACTAACATTGTTTTCCCGCAGTGTCAAAGGTGTAACAGTCTCAGTGAACTGCACGTTTTCCTACTTCTTCCTGGTTCTCTGTTACTTTTTTTAATTAATATTGCCTGTCCTGGCAAAAGGTAAAAAATGTACAAAACCTTTCTAACATACCATACGTTCTTTAAAAAGAAGAGTGGTATGTATTTCTATTAATTTTTCACAAGTTTTCTCATCTTTGGTCACAGACAGCAGTATGACAAGCATTTTAGAAGTAACCTAACACTGCAGTAGCTACTTTGATGTCCAAATTTTAGTATCCTTAGGGTAATTTTAATTCTGAGATCTTACAACATTGTATTGTCCAAATATATACCCACAACTCAGATATGTTATTTCAAAATCTCACCACAGTATTAAATAGTCTTCTAGTCAACACCCCAGCTCTTAAGATTTAAGGCTCCAACATCTTGGCTCCCAATTAAACTAACATCCTTTGCCATACACACCTCACTATAACATATAAATTGCTTGTCCGTCTAAGCAGTTTTATAGCTTTATGCACTATCATGTAGCTTGGTAATTATGGAGCTGTATTCAGAGACCATTTCAGAATAAAACCTACTATATCAAATTTAATTTGACCTTAACAAATGTATCAATACCCACAAACATGCAAAAGCAAAAAATTCTTCACCTTATACCAGCATTTGTATTCAACATATAGAAAACGGGAGATGTCATAGAATCGTGTCTGTTAAATCCCCATGTTAATTTCCCAGTTCCTTAATTTATGCTACATGTGTTTCAGAGACAGTGGCTACGATCACAGAGAGTTTTTATCCACCATTCTTTAACCCCAGAAGTACCCAAGGGTTCAACTGTGATTCTTCTGATTAGTAGTTAAGCAAACATATAATGGTTTATATATCAAAGCTGATGAATATAGGAAGAAATTGGGTTTTTAGGCAGAAAAAAAATTTTGCCCTCATCCTACCGTAAATCGGTGGCATTAAATACTATTAAAAAGTTAAAGTACACTTCAAGCAAACTTTTTTTCATTTAATTCCTAAAAAACTTTTTTGGTCAAATCCCATATGTTGACCTATGACATTGTTTAAATAGCGCCAAATTTTCTTGTCATATCCCCATTACTTTCACAACCATTGATGCAGTGCAGAAATGCTACTGTGTGTGTCTATGAGGGTTAATTTACGAACAACTCTTCTCTTGGGAAAGCCCTGAGATGTAGGTTAATAAAGGTCAAGCAAAAAATAAACACTTTACAGTATTTTTTTTGAATCCATTGCTCAGGAAAATCAACTTATAATAAAAAGGTCTTTGTGCAATTACTGCTATTGCACTGGGGCATGAAAGAAACTAGCTTTGAGCAGCTATTTCTCTCATTTTAGCTGAGGTAAGCCTGGCTGTGTGTTTTAGGATATGAGTTAAACTTGGTTAGATTGGAGTTGATCCCCATGTGCCCAGCACAGGCATTTACCTCAAAAAACGGTGTTAGTTTTGCTGTGTGGTGTTCCTTTACGCTGGCTGTACAGGAGTACTGCAAATGAAAACCATAGACTCTGTCCGACAGAAACAACTATAGGGTATATTGGAAGGGATTCAACAGAATACAACTTAACAATCATTTTCAGTGGCTCCCAACTACAGTCTAGTCAAATGGACCCAAGGCTTAAGAAATATCCCTTTCAATCACCACATACAGAAAGTATTTCCATGGGGTTGCAAAGGTACAAGATACCAGCACAATCTCACAAGACGCAGAAGAGATCAGAGTGAATACCATGGTTCCAGTGATAGTACATACATACCCATAGCAATACTTCGCACCATAGTGTCATAAAAATAATTTGAAACGCATATTAATCCTACAATGGTTATTTCCCAATGCAATCCTGTAGACTTGGATCCACTCCACCATATCCAAAAAGATATTTTTTTTTTTTAAACTCTCAAACAAAAGCAATTCTGTAAGTGTGGAGAAATACTATTGCATGTTCTGGCTATCTGCTATTCTTCCTTGAAATACTATTCTGAATGCTGCATCAGGTCCTCAGCCTATGTAAATCAATGTAACTTTGGCTAAAGATGGCTTACATTAGAGTGTAAGTTTGAGTTTACAATTAAGAGAATTATCCAGACTGAAAAATGTCCATACTGAATGGTAACCATCCCCTCCCATGGGTCTTCCCTCTGGCACATATTAACTGCTATTCCTAGGTAAATGTTGGTTTCACCCAGAATTAGGTGTCGATTTTCAGCATAGGTCAACTGAAAAGCACAAATAAGCATTAAAAAGGAAGAGAATGTACAAGTACCAGTGATCACTGAATTATTAAAGATGTTAAATGAATGCCAAAAAATTGATAGACACCTTAGTTTTTGACAATTTTTTTTTCCTGAGGGTTTTTTTAATTATTGTTACTATCATTTCGACTTTACTGAGGGGGGAGAAATTGGGAGGCGGGGTTGATTGGTGTACTTCATAAAATCGGCTACATGCCCAGAAATTTTAATTGCTGAGATGTTCCTCAGGTCTTTCTGAAAACCAAGACTGCAGCAGATGCCTGAGAAACACTCCGATTCCGTCTCTTCCCATTCGCAAATACAGCGTATTGTTGGGTCGGCACTTTCCCCTTTTGTCTCCTCTGTGCTAAGTTGTTGATGATGCCATTTTTTGCCATCTGCCCCAGAGCTTCATTAAAGATACATGAATGGACTAACTGGGCTGCTATCTTGTGAGGAACAGGTGCTATTGTTTGTCCCCGAAGACTTGCACTAAAGATCTCACTCAGAATACTTGAGAAAGAGCATCTGCAGCAGTCAGTCAGAGAGTAACTTGGCAGAGCCTCTACTATGGGCTAATATGCAAACAGTGACACTCAGGGGGACTCATTTTCTCTTTCATGAAGATTTTTTTTTTTTTGTGATGGGTCGTAAATGTTTGGTTTCAAACAATTCTGCCGGTCTATATCTTTAACTGAATTGTACAAACTCTGGAGGAAACCCGAGTATATTCTTTCCAAAATTCAGTTCTGCAGCCTCGAGTAAAATCCCGGTTTTTATAAAGCTACCTCATAAAATTAATCTTTGTTTCTATACAACAAGCTCAGGTTTAACTATGTTAAACATGAGAAGCCACCAAGATTAGGGAACTCTTAAAAGGTAGTGTACCATTCCTTTAATATCCCATCACAACTCTGACAGCCCTTGGGAACTGATTACAGCACTTCCTTGCCTGAGATCTAAGTCAGGAAGCAACTTTAGAGCAAATCAGCCCTGATTAGTTCAAGAAGCAACTTCCAATTTGATTCTCGCTGAAATAATAAAAGCCGGTGGCCCATTTGATAAGCTGGGCAAATCTGCAGTACTTTGTCCCACAGTCATGTGAATGCTAATCTCAGAAGTTGGCTGGACTATTCTCCTTGTTAAAAGGTCACTGATGGTTAGTGTTGTGCATGGAAAATGGAAGCCAAAGTGATATGTCATACAAAAATAATGCCTTGAATGAAAGTGATCTGCCTCTTTTGGATAAGGAACACAGTACATTTAGTGAGACTGAGGAAGAGGAAGGGTTCTGTCTTTAAAAACCAAAGCCACTTCTGCAACAATGAACATTGCAGCTAGAGGAGTAGAGGCATTCAGAGAAAAGGATGACAGCAGTGCAAGCAAAAAGGCAGCTCACACATTTCTGCTTAGCTGTGAGGATCACAGGTTTTAAAAGCAGAAGTAAATCCCACCCTATAATGGTGGATGAATTCCTCGCAAACTTTTCAAGATCAAACTTGACAAGTTGCCTCTCTGTTGCACAGTTTACTTCAGTAAAGGGGAGAATTAAGTGCCATCCTTTTCAGACATAGTAAGGACAACCTTTATAATATTTTATCCCTTCCTTAAAGCTTCTTTTTTTAATTACAGCCAGCACTAGTATAAAACAGTGTGATAGACTAAATATGCTCTAATTGCCTAAAATAATCCAGCATCAATATTTAAAATCATTGCCCCCTCTTCTTCCACCAATAAAATCTCTGGACCCTGTTCTCAACTTGTAGAAATCTTGAGATGTATATTGAATCTAACAGACTACTCTAACGCATGTTAGCTGAGAAACCAATCTTTGAATTTGCTGAATTGACTTTTTTTTTCCCTTTAGTATAGGATGTACAGTACCTATTGTCCTTGTCATGTTGCAGCCTCTGTGAGAACCTAATTCATTCACAGCAGGTTTAAACTTTTCATAATTTAAACTTGAATTCCTACCTAAGATTTTTTAATTTCTTGAAAATTGGTACAGCCAGACTACAACTTTAACCTGTCTATGCAGACATTAAGCTTTTAATTTCCATAGTGAAAATATGTTTGACATTTCCTACTCTCTCATTTAGAAACTGGAGTGTAATAGAAGAGTTTCCCAGGTAATGGCAGTGCATCAAGTAAGAATGTGCATTTTCAGAATGCTTAAAATATGTGTTTAGATGATAGAACACAATGACTATAACTGATAGCCCAACAGGGTACATTTTAGGTTGATTGATTTTAAAAATCTTAATGGCACTGAAAGCAGTGTTTGTGCCCTATGAGTGCAAGTCTTTTAATACCCTGCATATTATATGTATTTACCTGCATATTAAATATTTATCTGCATTTTAAATAGTCTGTTTGCAATACGTGGCACTATTATTTTTATACCACCATTGGAATTTTATTTATTTCAATAACTAGTATTGGGTTTTGTTGTTCTTTGTAAAAGAAGAAATATAAGAAGTTTTGTTAATTTGAATTGTATTTTGATTAGGTCATTTTGGTGACTCTGCAAGAAAGCAAACACCATGTTGCGTAAAGAAAC